AAAATGAATTAGTGCATATTATGGAGAGTCGACAAAGGGGGACATTTGAGGTGATGTTGGAAAAAGCAAAAGGCAAAGAGGGACGTGACTCTACCATTCATGCACTCTCTCACACACACAAACACACAACTTTTGAAAATTCAATACAAATAACAAAAAAAGTGAAACGAATTTGGGGACACGCACAGTAGAACAACAAAGCTGTAAAGGTGGCCTTGGCAACGAAAAAACAAGCTCCTATGCATATTCTTTCCTAGCTAACTTTGAACTTTACTATATAGTATGTTTGAAACTTTTAACATAACATTAGAAAGTATAAAGCATACAAAAGAGGATATAGTATATTCATTGTGGGGGCAAATCCATATACAAAAGAGGATATAGTCAAGGCCACGTGTCGCATTATCCTTCGTTCATGTGTCCGTCACATTTTCCCACACAACAATATATATATATATATATTTTATATATGTATATATGAGATAATCTTGAACAACGAACATGGGTACCAACAAAACACTATAAAGCTATCCATATATATTTTACAGCCTAGCAAGTGAAGTCTCATTATCTTGCATTAATTTATCATGAACAACCATCTATCATAGATTTAACACCACCAAGAGAGAAAAGACCAGATCATGACCAACGATATTATATTTATGAGTGGGTTGACATCAATAGAGAGGAAAGCCCAATCCTCTTTCGCCTGTGATGAAGGAAAATGACTTAAAGAAACAGCGTAAGCCAAAAAAGACTAATCATCTTGATTTGATGAGTGGTAAAGCTACGCCTCGTCAGCCTCGTTAAGATTATGTAAATATATCATCTTATGCTTTTATAACCTGCTTTTCTTATAGGAGAATTCGCTAATTCTGTAATATGCATTATACATCTGTTTTGCTTACTTTTTCTTATTTTGTTGTGATTCTGATTAGATTTAACGTTTAAAATTATACGGTATTAAATGAAAACCAAAAAAAAAAAAAAAAGAAAAAAAGAAAGACTGAAGGAAAGTGTATAGGCCCGTTGGTGGAGAGGTGTTGTCATAATATCACAGCTTGATAAATGTTTTAAACGGACAAAAACATAAACAGGACCTGGTGGGGTCGGAAAAAGGTTTGGTTTTGCTTCTTACACCTTTATTTACATATGCTTAGTGCACGTATAAACATATGCGTATGATTTCACAGGGATCTTTTTCTTCTCCATGATTATTTACCCAAATCTTGTTGTCCAATATTGCTGTTTCCTTCTATTACTTTGGAACCATAATGAAGTTAACAGTTCAAAGCAAAATGTTTATCACTATCCTCTCCTTTTTGTATGTCTTTGACACCAACTAGGCGAGAAAAGGCGCACTCAAAGGGCACACGTGTTGCATGTTCTTACGTATAACATGAACAACCTAGCTAGCTACATTATTTGAACTTTGAAGTGGACCTAAAGAGACAATGCTACTTTATAGGGGAGCTTTATCATGACTGGTGCTACAGCCAAAATATGTGACCTAAATATCTCCATTAAATTCTGTTGCTGATTTGTGTGGAAAATCGGACACTCCTCGGCCGGCCCCGGTGAGTTCTCACGCTCTTGGGTCTCAGCTGCCTTCTGAACTTTTTTACATTTTTGATACTCTATCAGTAGTACTTCTTTTTGAACATTGTATTTGATAAAAATCAAAAAAATATGTGCAAAATCGACCGAATTGGGTAAAGATATAACGGTTTAAAATATAACCCTAGAAACAGGCCATATTTTTCATACCCTAATGGTTCATGTTATTTCTAATCACTTTTGTTTTGTTTGGAAACATGCACAACTTTTTAGGGGGAAAAAAAAAAAAACCATACACAACTTTTATGATTATTTAATACTGGTAAAAGCTTAAAGCAGGGAGCATCAATAGTCATTACACCTACGTTTATGTGTCACCATCTAGCTTTCCCTTGGATTCGGTTTCTCAATACTCAACTGTCTGTGTGTGTGTGTGTGTGTATATATATATATATATATATAATGCATTTATCGCTGATGACCCTTTTCTTTGTCACAGCAAAATAAGGGAGGAGTGTCGTAACAGATCATATCCCTTAGCCCAAAGGCTGACAAGCTTAAGGCTTTAGTCCAAAATTTTCAAACATAAAAAAGGCCGGCCCAAATTCTTTGGGGGCAAAACACACGAATGTCCCTTGGTGAACGAATCCTGGTCAAAATTTTGACCTGTCTAAAGTGAAGGGTTCGGAATTTTTCCCCACTAAAGAGAAGGTTACCATCAATATACTATCAGTTTATATTACTTTTTTCAACAGATCACCGATCATTTATAGTAGATTACCAAATTAATTCACGGAAGAGTAATTCTATTTGCACCCCTAATATTCATGAATACCCCATCAAATCAGAATGTATTTTTATTATAGTTTCCTCATAATAAAATTACGTTAAAACCAATTAAAATTACTTTAAAACCCGTTAAGAATTATACACCTTCTTCATATATTACCCCATATCAACTGTGAATGGAAATATTGGTTAATTCTTATATCCCACATATGGCTTACAAATTTTTTTTTTTTCCGTGTTATAACTTTTTGGGTTTTCAGTAATTCCATTTTCAATAAAGTTCGTTTGCTGTTTTTTCTTTATATATATATTGAGGAGAGCTTCTTTGTTGTTTTATGCTCGTGTATCATAACAATTTTTCTTCTCAGTGTACAAGTTTTTTTTTTTTTTTTCCATTTAGAATGTGAAAATTTTCTTTTTTGTTAAGATTTGTTAATTATTTTTAATAGAACAAAGTAAAATTAAAATAAAAGTTGGGGAAGGTGTATAATTAAGAAGGTTAAATTCGGCAATATAGAACAAGTATCTATAAAAGGATAAAATCTTTTTAATATTTATTAGAGAATATTAATGAATTGGGGGTATTAACAAATTTTGTGGGTGTTAACTCTTTCCGAAATCAATAGATATCATTGAGTCTCCCTGCATGGAGTTATTCGTGTGGATTCATTGAAGTATTATAGTTTACTCAAAAATAAACCAGTGATTTACTTTAATTATAAGCATGGAGAAATTTCTTCCTTAAAGAATTGAGCCTATTTTACAGCCATATATATTTTTTGCTGAATTTTTACACCAACATATATATATAGTTAAATATATTTAGGCGAATAACTCGACCTTGAAAAGTAGTACTAGGCTTACCTGTACTTATAATAGAATAGTCAACCGAAGGATTAATTATGGGTTCGTTTAATTCACTAATTTGAGATTTTAATTTGAGTTGAGATATGATTTTATATGAAAACTTTTTACTGTAATAAAAAAGTTAGGTGTGATTATTTCTGAAAGCTTTTTACTGTAGTAAAACTCGAATCGATGAAATAAACGATGCATATATCTTGATAGAAGTGAAAGTTCGGGCTCCTTGACTCAGCCTGACAGTGAGAATAGATATTTCGATATGGGTCAGATCGATTTTATGCTATCTTTGGTAGGATGAATAGAAAAGAGGAAGGAAAGAGAAGCAAAATACCTAGATGAAGGAAGTAAAATGGTAGAAGAGTGATTTTTTTCATGTTGTTTGGTAGAAAAGAATAAAAAGTGAAAAAAAATGTCAAATCTGATACGTTTTACAATAATGCCCCTATGCAAATAAAAATATGATGAATAATTATGGTTATAATAGTTATTTTACACCTCATTTGTTTGTCAAAAGTTTTCTTTCCTCATTTCCTCCCAAAGTTAGATGGATTTAAAATTGGCAGGCCCCATGAATTTATATTTTCCTTCATTTCTCATTTTCTCTCTACCAAACAAACAAAGATTCTATTTTCCTCTCTAAAATCCTTCCTCTAATTTCTTTCCTTCCCCTTTTCTATTCTACCAAACACTGTTAAAAGGGAGAAGGTTGGCCTAAACTGGTCTTAAAACTCGACAGGCCTAAGGTCAGACTGAAAGTTTATAAGGTATTTTTAAAAAATAATAATAATTAAAAGAGGACGGTTTATTTATTTATTTCAAAAACTATCTAAAGTTATATGTATGATGCCATGCTACCCTTATAACATGTTAAAAAATTACAGTTTTGTTATAATGAAACACGATGAGAAATTAGAAAACATCTTGTTATATAACATACAAATATGGCCATTATTGTAAAGATTACAACTTTATCATAATTTTCAACAACGAAAATATGGATTCAGATTTTCAATCGAATTTTTGGTGTCCTATTAGCATCTAACTAATCATATCGTGCTATATTATTCCATAATAAATATAAAAATTAGTTAAAAAGCAGTTTAAATTTTTTATACAATGAGACGTGATATGATTTGTTAGATACTAATTGAAACACTTAAAATTGAACAGAAGATATGAGTCTCAAAAATAAGAGGCTAAGGGTTCATTTGGTATGAGAGTTTAAACCAGTGTGATTTTAGTTTTAATCTTAAAACCATAACCAGAATCAGGGGTTTAAACCACCTAAAACCAAGGGAGGGGTGGTTTTAAAATCAAAGATAATTCTGATTTAAAACATCACATCAGAGTTTAAATCTTATAAAAACCATTCAAACCAAACACTGATTCTGAGTGAGTCAAATCAGAACCACTTTTTACTTTTTATAAACAAACACTGATTTGAACTAAAATCATAATTCAGATTCTGAAACTTTTATACCAAACGTGCTCTAAAGGTCACAACTTTTTAATAATACATAAAGAAAAAAAAGGTACAATAAATAATATTATTAAAAAATAGATAAAATTATAATATTATAAAAAATACACGGCTTTTAGAATAAGATTCTTAAAATAGATAATTTATAAAATTAGGTCTAATATCTGAAAGCCTCAAAGATAATGTTGACCCACAGCTTGTTTGCCAAAATTTGACTTTCTTTTTTCTTTACTTGGACTTGGGGTAATTCATAGTTCAAACTATGCACCTCCAACTGAGATAGGTGTAAATTTACCATTAGACTAGTCCAACCATAAAAATCCCACCTATCTATTTTATTTAGAATAATTGTAACTTATTGATACACAACACTTGTTGGTACGTCAACAACATTTCAAACTAGATTCCATTGAGACTAGCAAAAAAAAAAAAAAAAACTAGATTCCATTTCGTTCTTTCATTCTTTTCGTTTCTTTTCAATTTTTACTCACCCCATTTTGCCTGAACCCGTCTAGTAATTTTAGTACAACAAATACCTCACCACTTATTTCCCATCACTATAAACTTGCTGAGAAACAGCAGAAATTGACCCATAAGACAGAATATCTCCAAAGAAGGAAAAATGTTGCTCTGCACGAACTCACTTCCTGATGAAGGAAACTCCCTTTTGAATGCTTGTTGCCAACTCTTTCTTGGCCTTATCCAATCCAACCCTGTTTCATGTTGTACCAAGATTTAATAGGAAATCAAGGCGTAAATCAATAGAAAGGGCCTTAAATGGACGTGAACACACCTCTCATACTCATTCAGAGGACCAAGTGGGTATATTTCTTCCACGCCACCACGTCCAAGCCGTACTTTAGATGCAAAGAAAGGAAGTTCGGTCACCTGTGATAAACAGGTAAAGATTTGTTATATCGACCGTCCAAATCAAAAAACTAATGCGCATTAAATTTATGAGGAAAATAACGGGTCGAAGATGCATGCCATGAAGCACTAATACATACCTGAGAAGCCACAAAAGCACATTCAACTATCCCTGCATCTCCTCTCAAACCTCGAAGGCATGCATCGGCAAACTTGACAGCAGCATAGGCCTGCATTTATTCACTCAATTAGATATTTAGGTTTAATAACTACAATGGGAGTCCAAAAAAAAAAAAAAAAATGAGTAGAAGTTGAAAAACAACTAACCATAGACAATGTTGCAGAACCAGCTCCAGCTTTTGCCTGCAAACAAGTAAATCTTCAGGAGTCAAATATGCTTCCCAAGTGTCAGTAATATGAAGGCAAAAAGAATTACACCAAATTGCAAGGAGCATTATAACAACGTGTAAAAATGCAAGAAAGCGAACTGCTCTGTGTTGACAGGACAGCCCTGATTACTTCTAAATATGACACTTGCATATCTCATTTGGATCACAATATATCAAGATAGGAGTTTACAGTATGGCGCACAGACAACCTAATCTACTTCGATTTAGTAAACTAGCATACTTCCGTTTGGATCACAAGAAGTGAAGATAGGAGTTTACAGTAAAAATACCAAACAGTACTTATCTCTAAAAGCGACACATTTATTAATGCTAAACAATACTTACTCATAAAGCAACACTTTTGGACCTCTGGAAGAAGTACGTGTTCATAATATAAGGTACTTAGCACATGATTTTGCAAATCTTCAGATGAATTTTAGCACATTAGAAGAACCAATAATGACTAAAAGGTTACGAGAAAATAGAGATATATGGTATTTAGAACAGTGAACAGACCTTCAAATCAGCAACAAACACTTGTTAAATTGAAAGAAAATCTTCTTACCTCAACAACCTCAGTTCCACCATTCTGAATGCGATCTGTTAGGTAGTCAATTTCTTTATCAGTAAAAGAGCATGCAGGTTTAACCTGCATAAAATGGGAATTTATATTCCTTAGGTATAGCCAAGAGGAGAATATCCTACACAAAATCACGCAAAATATTCAAACGTCTCAAATCAAGTTCTTCTAAACCTGAGACAGGAGAGGTAAAATAGTAACCCCAGCATGACCTCCAACTACTGGAACATCAACATCCCTAGGATCAAGACCCAAAACTTCTGCCTGCAGATAGACAAAAGCAATAGAAAGAAAAAGATGTGAGCTGTAAGGTAAGCCCAGAAGGTTTATTCTTCAATGCTAGTGTCGAAATTGTAGCTGGACAGAATTCTGATTCCCCACAAACCACCGTCTCAAAAGTGAAAAATAAGTGTGTTTATTTCCATCCTGACCATAAATGAACTATGGCTTGTTGGCTACACCCGAATACTAAAATGAAACAAACTTAACAATGCCTCAACAACATAAATAGTTCCAACCCAACCACAAATGATAAATCAAATACTGAGTTCGCAAAGTAAACTAAAATGAAACAAACTTAACAATGCCTCAACAACATAAATAGTTCCAACCCAACCACAAATGATAAATCAAATACTGAGTTCACAAAGGTAAATGAATTTAATGGACAACATACATTACTAGTAGTTCATGCATAAAATTCGAAATAATTCAACGAAATGGATCCCAAGAAAACCAATCGACACTTCTCAAAGACGGTGAGACATAACAAGAGAATTGATAGTTCATTACCACAAAAGTATTAGCTCTAACAACATCAAGCATGGTTACTCCCAAAAGCCGTTTCGGATCAAATGTGCCAGCTTTCTTGAAAACCTCGGCCGCAATGGGAACAGTGGAGTTAACAGGATTGCTGATCAAGTTGACAATAGCATTGGGGCAACATTTGGCAATAGCTTCACAAAGGGTCTTCACAATCCCAGCATTGATGTTGAACAGATCATCCCTAGTCATTCCAGGTTTCCGGGGAACACCCGCCGGGATGATCACAAGGTCCATACCCGTCAAGGCATCCTCCAGCTGGGCCTGGCCCAAGAATCCCCGTACCTAAAACCCAACTTCCATAATTCACTCAGAGCTTTAAATTATTGGATTAATCAGTTGTTCCTAAAAATGCAAAAAACTTATATTTCACTCCCTAACAATAGTCTCTACTCTAGTTATCCATCTTTCCTTTTACTATCATTCTGCTAAATCTAAGAGCAAAATACACTAATTTTGGTTCCAAAAAAACTTTAAAAAACAAAAAGTAAAGCCATTGAATTTCAAAGAGGGAATAAATATTGATATTTACCACAGCACCAGTGTCCATATGACTGATGTCGGCGGTGACGCCGGGGGTATTAACGACGTCGTATAAGTGAAGCACCGAAACGAGAGGGTTCATCTTCATCAACAAGGCGAGCGGTTGGCCTATGCCGCCGGCGGCTCCCAAAATCGCGACCTTGGATCCCGGCGCCGCGCCTTTCGCTCGGCAAATCTCTCTTCTCAGACCGCAACGATCAATTTCCTCCCCCATCTTTCCAAAGTCCGAGGTTTAACACACGATCAATCAACAGATGAAGAACGAGAAAATTTCCAGAAAAGTTGGAGAAATTGGAGTTCAAGTTTCGGTTTTTGTACCTGGAGATTGCTGGGAGGGAGGAGATGGGAGGAGATTCTAATGATGCGACGATTGGCGTCGGAGATTACTGATGAATCCATCGTTTTCGTCTGATTTTTCTTTGATTGTGATTTGGGAATTGGGAATTGGGAATTGGGTTAAATTTGGTTGAATAATTAGGATTGAAATGGAGGCTGGGAATTGGGATGAATAATGACGTGAAAACGTTGCTATTGTAGTTGGAATGCGTGCCACTATAAACTAATTAAATAATGGTCTTATCCAAATGCAACCGCTCAATAGGAGGTTGTTTGTTTGGTTGAAGAGAATCCATTTTCTAATTTAAATCGTGATTTGTTATAATATTTTTTTTATAAAAAATATATATAAATTAAAAATAATTTTAATTATATGATTTTAATTTATGAATTAAATGTTTCAAAATAAAAATTAAGCTACAAGTAGTTCTCCGGCCCTATAGTAGAAATGCATGAAAAATTGAAGTGCATGTTTGAAATTGTTTTCACCTTGTTTTTTAAAATGTTTCCGCATGTGGTTTGAGATAGGAAAGCAAAAACAGTTTCCAAATCTCGTTTAATTTGTAAATACTTTGAAAACGAGAATGAAAAAAAAAAGGTATAAATTGTTTTTGTTAAAGAAATGGAAAGTGGTTGAAGTTGTTTTTTTTTATTTCCATTCTCATTTTTTAAACTACAACTCAATACACGTTTTTTAAAATATATCCAAAAACAAATTTACCTTTTTTTATACCTAAAATAATCTCTAAGAAGAGTAACCAAATGTAATTCATAAATAACTCAACAGATTCCCAAAAAGTTCTCATTTCCATTGTCATACTAAAAACATAAATATTTTAAAAACACTACTAAACATGCCCTAAATGACTGCTTTAAAAAAATGCTATTGGTCACTCTTATATGTAGATCCAAACCCTGTAATTGATATTTTTATATAGTTGTGAGGTTAGCGTACTTAGGCCCATATTTAAAAGGTTGAGGTTTTATCGTGTGGTTTGAACGGCTTAGGAATTGGTTACAGAAGTCACATGATCCTGTATTGCCGTCCGACAAGGCATACTTTTATCCATATGTAGTTTTCAATTTCCCCACTTCAAATAATTGTTTTAGTCATCACATGTTTGGAAATCTTATAGGCGGTCCATGCAACAGATCTGGAAATTAAAGTTACCTATAAAGTGAATTGACAAAGGCCATCGTAGTTGAGAGACCGTCTATATAAGATTAATATGGAACGGAAAGAGATGCAACGTAATATTTATTTTTTAAAATAATTATGTTTCCATAATAATTGATTTAGTATGAGCTTGTTTTATAGGTTCGAATTATTTTTAAAATTTTTTGTTACAATATTTTTTCACAAAATTTAAATTTATGTTTCAACTTATGAATCAAACAGTGATCAAATTCAAACCAATTTTTTTACATCCTAAGATTTATTGTTGCATAATATATGCATCATGTTACACCATTTAACTGTAGTATAGGATGGTCTGACGTACCATATGGTAAGTATATTAATTATTTTTTTTTTAAGAAAAACGAAAAAGAAAAGCCTTGTGGTGGTTGAACACATCTAGCTACTTAGCTAGTATTCAGCATCATCATTTAAAAGAAAAAAAGAAAGAAAGAAAGAACTATTCAACCGCCACATTTAATACTTTTTATAGTTTTTTCGATCACAACTATTCGTTTTTATCGTGAGTGGTTTTTTTTTTTTTTTTTTTTTAATTCCTCCATCTTTTATTTATTTTTTGTCTCTCCTTATTTTCCATTTTTTTCTTTGAGTCCTTCTGTGTTGTTTTTCGTTATTAATCTTCTCTTCTTATTTTTTTTTTCTTTTTTCATTATTTCCTCTTAACATCTTATATAGTTTTAAATATGCCTCATTAAACTATTTTTAAAAATTATCTCATTCTTTATCGATATTGTCCGTACCTAAATATTTTTTACATACTCTTTGTAAATATATTTATTTAACAATTTCTCTTTAAAAATATTTTCTCTTAAATACCTCTCTAATCTAGCATCTTTCTCATCAATCTTTTTTTGTTTGTTTTTCTCAAATGTGTCCCTATTTAAAGATATTTATTGTCTAATTTTATCTTATTAATTTTTCTTTAAATCTACTCTGCTTAAATACTTATAGTTTATTTTGATAAATGAAGTCAATTTTTTATTTTAAGTTTTTTTTTTCAAGTTATGAAATAAATTAGTAGAGCGGATTTTTTGAACAATTTAATGGAATACCCTGATGTGTTCAAACTTCCTCAATTATTTTGATTACTTGAACAAGTTAAAGGCACACTATGATTTTGGGGTTCGTTTGCTAAAAAAAACATAGATTATTTTTAGGATTTATCTTTTAGGCTAAAATTATTGTTTTAATTTTATTTTGAGTTTATCATTAGCATTCACCTTTTAAATTAGTTCTAGTTCTGTTGTGATTATTACTTTTAGTTCTATTATGATTCAAACAACAAAAGAGCTATAAGTTATGATCTCCATGACTAAATTTTTAGCTGCAGTATTCAGTCTTTTGGTCCTCTAATTGTTCAACTCCCATGAATTCTTCCGTCCACATGTTAATCCCGTTCCAATAATTCCTTATCTTTGTCAACCTCTGCACTAAAAAAAGGTATATGAAAATAAGAAACATTCCTTATCTTTGTCAACCTCTGCACTAAAAAAAGGTATATGAAAATAAAAAAAAATCGAGAACAAACCATGTGAGAGTCTACAAAGATGAGTAATTATTAGAAAGAGATGAACATGTGAATTTGACACTCAAAACTTTTGGTCGTTAAAGTAGGAAGTAGACTTTTTTTGACGTAAATCGTGGCTTTGATAATGTTAAATCTGTGAACTGTGAATGAATGATTTTAGAATTGCTTTTCTAGAAATTCTTCAATGGATATCTTTAAGAATTTACTTTTCCTTTCAGGATTTTTATTTGTCTCTTTGTGCAAAATTTTCAGTTTAAGGCTTCTTTTTCCGTTTGTATTGTCATTGTTGTCTTTTTCTGAGAAATGTTATAGTTTGTAAATTAAGGTGTTGTTTTTATAGGATGGTGTCATTGTCGTTTCTATGATGAAGCTGTATAACTTAACTTTTCTATCTAAGAGATTGATTTTACTATTTGGATCCGTTTAATCAAATAACACTAAGATCAACTTTGGAACCTCACTCTCTTATAACTAAGCCTCTTATATTTCCAATATTGAAGGTTGGTTATTAAATACTCCTCAATTACCTCTTTATATTGTTATATGTTGTACTACTAGTTTGATGAATGTGCGAATAATTATGAAGGTAGCGTATGGTAAATAATTATGTAGATTCTAGTAATACGTTAAGAATATTGACTCACAGTTTTACTTGAACATGGAACTTCCTTGATTTTCAACTCTATTTGTAAATAGGTAAGCCTTGACCCTTGTTCTACTTAAAGATAATTCAATACAAGCACGTTCAAGTGATCATGAAAACATCAGACTTGATGTTCAATAACTTGAAAAACTAGTTTATCTAAAGGATTATTAGGATTTATCTCTAAAATAGTTTATATATTTATTGTTTTAATTTTATTTTAGGTTTATAATTATCATTTACTTTTTGAGTTAGTTCTAATTCTATTATAATAATTAATTTTAGATCTATTAAGATTGAACCAATAAAAGACTAATAAATTATTTACACCCATGACTAAATTTTGGGCTGCAGTATTCATTCGATTGGTCCTCTAATTGTTCAAGTCTCATGATCTCTTCCATCTACATGTTCGACCAGTTGAATATTCAGAATAGGAAGAGTACATGTAGATGGAAGGGTCAATGTGAGTTGAAAAATCTGAAGAGGAAAACGTCAATAATATCAATGCTATATAAGGTCTAACGTCCGCTTCTTGACTCTTGCCGTTGCTTTTTTCACTTAGTACAACTGACTTGGTGATTTCACAAGAGGTTCTTCATCTCATAATGACGATTGGTGACGAAAATGTCTCTGAAATAGAGTTGAGAAAAAAAAAACTTGAGTTAAAATTACATGAAAAAAAATCAGTTTTAAATTCTAATAATAAATTCTGGATATACTTGATAAATCCTTTATTTATCAAGTTAGCATCACTTTTATAAAAATGATACAAAATGTAATGGCAAATCTTGCATATATATGGTAAATTAGAGGGAATTTTTGAAATTTCAGCTGATTGTAAATCCTTATTCACATCAAATTGGCCTATTTGTTAACTTTTCTTGAATATTGACTTATTAGTTTTAATTCCTCTCAAATCTTGCCTATTTCTCTCAATCTCCCCTTTCATTTTAAGTCATCTTCTTGGGCCCAAACTGAGGTCTCGTTCATTTCACCAATTTGAGTTTTCAATTACAGTTTTACTACAGTTAAAAGCTCTCACAAAAGTCACATTTAACTTTTTTTGTTATAGTGAAAAAACTCACACATAAAATCACATCTCAGCTCGAACGAAAAACTCAAATTTGTAAACTGAACGAGACCTTAATTTCTCTTCCTAAAGCTAAAAATATCATCGGTCCACTATGTGTGTGTCCAAGTGAATCTATTCTATGCTTTTCTTTTTTGGAGAGGATAATTCCTTAATTACAAATTAATTTTAGATTATTTTTCAATAATCTTGTTTCACTTTGACCTTTTACATTCATTTTTAGACCTTTTTCTCTCATGAATATAAGATTATTTTCACCAACAGATCATGAAAGCAAAAATCTGGCTACAAGTAGTTCTCGGGCCCCAATGTAGAAATGCATGAAAAACTTAAGTGCAAGTTTGAAATTGGTTTCCCCTTGTTTTTAAAAATGTTTCCGCATGTTGTTTGAGACAGAAAGCAAAAACAGTCTCCAAACTGCATTTAGTTAGCAAATACTTTGAAAACGAGAATGAAAAAGAAAAAAACAATATAAATGGTTTTTGTTAAAGAAATGAAAAATGGTTGAAGTTGTCTTCCATTTTCATTCTAATTTTCAAAACTACAACTTAATAAACGTTTTTTAAAAGATATCTAAAAATAAATTCTCCTTTTTTAATACCTCAAATAATCTCTAAGAAGAGTAACCAAAAGTAATTCCTAAACAACTCAACACATTCCCAAAAAGTTTTCATTTTAATTTTCATTCTCACAAAATTTAAATTTATGTTCAAATTTATGAATCAAACCGTGATTAAATTTAAACCAACTTTTTTACATCCTAAGATTTA